GTTGGATAACTTCAGAGTCAAGTTGATACTAGGATGATAAATAAAAAGTTTGGTCCTTTTACTTTATTATTCTTTATCCAACCATCAACTTTAATCATCTCTCCTTTTTCTCTTAAAAGACTCAAGTTTACCAACGCCAATGGTTTTGTAGAATTTAATTTACAAACACCCCTAAACCTTTTATAATCAACATGATTTTTTTCTTTTCAAATTCTTCTTCCTGTTCTTTCTCCCTCTTTCTCTATTCCAAGTTTCAACCTTCCTCGGCCAACTTGGTTGTTTTTTAATTAGTTGGAAAAACTTTCCCACTTTATGCTTCTCCGAAGGAGCATCTCCTTACTTTTCAGCTTGATCAAAGTCTCCCTATAATCAAAGCATCGAACCCCTTGATCACGATACGCTAACTACTCCCTAATACTTCTGTTAAAGCAAAGGCTAAACAATCCGAACTGATGATTCCCACACTCTAGGTGGAATGGCGCCTGCCTCTGCACTTACTGGGGAACATGGCCTTAGGTTGTGGTGTTTAAGCTTGAGGATCCTCATTCCCCCTCCCCCAAGGTTAGCTAGAAATTTAATATGTATAGTTACCCGATTTCAAAAAATAAATAATAATAATAAAAAATAAAAAATAAAATAAAATGAAGGATCCGAACCATCCCTACTAGGCCCAACGGTTCATCCACACAATACCGAATGCCTGGGGGCTTTAAGTTGGGAGTAGAGCACTTACAAATTTCCCTATGTTTTTTTTTTTTAAATCAATTCATCAACAATTCGTTTGATAAAAAAAAATTAATTTATATTTTTTTCAATGTTTTTCTTAGACAAATGACTTTGAAAAATTATTAATGGTGCATAACATAGCTTGGGAGATATATATATACACATATGACAGCCAAATTGACTAATGGTTATATGTATAATACTCAATTGAGAAATTTTCTAGATATCTGGTCAAGGAAATGAGTCTGGATGGAGATTTGGACGTGAGAATAGAAGGACGAAAGCAGTTTCTTGTTCTTTTTCTTTTTCTTTCTTCTTCTTTTTTTTTTTTTTGAAGATAGGCAATGAGAACGAAAGCATTTTCATTCTCAAGTTGGGAATGTTTTTGAAGTGCCAGCTTTTGTCTTTTGGTTTTTGGTTTTTTGAGATTTCTTACTTTCTAGACGTGTTCCATTTCGTGGAAGGTTCTACCGGCAATTCTTTTCCAAACAGAATTTATCCGAAACAGTAACACCCACTTTTTGTTCTTTTGACTACAATCCAAAAGACCCCACTTCATCTCTTGATGACGGAAAGTTTAACGGAATTCATACTGCAGGCCAAGGAAAAGGAGGAAAAAAAGGAAACCCTCCAACCCATGGTTTCTACAATTGAATAACCCTTTTCCCTGCCAGCACGAACTCGTGCTTGTTATAATGTATTCCATGTAGAACAAAAACATCAAAACATCTACCTTATTGTCCCATGTCAAATCTTTATATGTGTGTGCACAGGCATGCCTGTCCATTGTAAAAGAAAACTAAAATATGTGTGTACGTGCAGGTAGAGGTCCATGGAGTAGAATGCAGACATCTAATAGTTTGTTAGGACCAGTGGTGTATTTCGAGGAGAAGGAGGATCCTAGCAGGAGTTATTGGCTTTGTCACAGCCTCACGTATACAATGCATAACAATGTGAAATCAAGAGTGCTTATGAAGTTATGACTGATTTGCAAGCCAGTAATTTTATCAAGTTCCCTTGAATTCTACTAACAGGGGTTTTTCCTGCTATGCCATGAAATTATGAATAATGGTTTGATAAACATTTAATAGAAAATAAACAGCTCATTCACCTAGATTCAGGAAGATTTGGGATTGAATCTCTCAGACAACATGAGGATTGCTCTAACAATTGCAGAATTCCGAAATCCTGAATTTCCTTTTGGCTGGGAACATATCCTGCATCATAGATACAGAGTTCAATGATAGATCCTGGTCAGCAATGTAAATACTCAGAGAGATGCAATGGATGCTAAAACTTAAAACTCGACATGACCAAAACAAGACAGCAGAGATTAGCATAATTAATATGTATCTCAAGCACTATATCAGGATACAGAGAGATCATGATTAATATGTCCTGGTGAAGATAATATAAAGTGGAAACAACAATTTTCGATTATATCTGCAGAAGATTAGTAGGTTATGCTGGCAAAAGGAATTAGCACATCCTTCGATCATCAAATTTAAAAACTATAGGAACCGTCATTTATGAAGAATGTGGAGTCTTCACTGCTAGGAATTTATTTAAGCCAATTGTGCTTCTTAATGGTTGGATATAGTTCAGCTCAACTCATGCAGAATACATATCTAATACACTGCCCTTGATCAAACAGATACATGTAGTGTGAATGTGATCTCTCCATAAATAGTTACAGAGAACAGGGAGAGATAGAATCAGAGGAATCACAGATGACAGAAAGGATGGAATCCTAAGATGGGTGAATTTAATAGCCATACCTTTTAGCCATTTTCCTAAACCAGATGCAGAGACGACAGAGGATCTGTGATGAAAATGAGAGGGCTTCCTGTACTCTTCATTGTTGTATGGAAGGTAGTGTCTCATCAACCTGTGGAAGCCTTTTCATTTTTCATTATCATATGGAATGACTTCACCTTGTCCTCTGCAACCATCTCCCTTAAAACATCATCTTCAATCTTTTCTGCTTGCCAACGAGATGGATCCTCCACAAATGCTTCACTAAAAATCATGCTTGATACCCATTCCTTCCATGTGGTTCTACGGTACTTGTCTTCCTCAAGTGTGCCTGACGCAAGGAGCTGATAAACATAAACAACCTTCTGCTGACCAGGCCTAAAGGCCCGTGCAATTGCCTGCTTCGTCTTGGAAGGATTCCATTCTGAATCCAATAAAATGACCCTCGAAGCAGCTGTCAAGCTAATGCCTTCAGCACAGGCTGTAATTGATGCAAGTAGTACCCTGGAAGGTCCACCTGTTTCCTCAAACTTGTCCATTATTCTTCCTCGTTCAAAAAGTTCTAGATCTCCTGTAAGAACCAGTATTTCTCTTCCTCTCTGCCATCGAAAGACATTCTCAAATAATTCCACAAATAAATTAATTGGTGCAATATTATGGCAGAAAATCAGAAGCTTCTCCCTCCTAACAACTCGGTATACAAGGTTTAGAACAAACATCACCTTGGACCCTTTCTTAAAGTCATACTTGAGCTTCTCAAGCTCCATTTGTTCTGCTGCACTGAAAAACTTACCTACACAGTTGGAAGTTCTGACCAACCAAGGATGTATTGATGCAAGGGTTATCAGAAGCTCCAATTCCAATGGGTAGCCAGTGTATCCAGCCATTATGTCACGAAGTTTTATTAAAACATCATGTTGTATGTCAGTTGAATTCATCATCAAAGTATAAATCTGTAAACCAGGGAGGCCGTCAGAATTTGCCCCTTCATACACATCAATGAATCCGTTTGTCATGTTTCTCAACATGTTAAGACCCTGCATCCTCTCTTCTCCTACGTCTGAATCAATCTTCCTAGCAATATTGTCTAGGAAAAATTTCCTTGCTCGATTTTCTAACAAATGCCGAGCTTTTTCCACCCCAACTTTTTTCTTCTGAAATTTTGGGTCTAGTTCACTCAACACTTCATTAACAAACTTTGGTCTTGCTAGGCAGAGCGTGTTGAAATATTCACAAAAGTTGTTCTGGAAGAGTGTACCTGAAAGCAATATCCTCAGGTCAGTTCCAACTTTCATTAGAACCTTTCTCAACCTAGATTTGGTACTTCTGGGGTTGTGCCCTTCATCTAGTACAAGGAGTCCTGGACTCTCCCGAAGCACTTTGGCCATACATCTTCTGTGAGCAAACTTGGAATCTTCCCTCATTAATGTGAGGAAAGATGTATAACCCATAACGAGGACACTTGGTTGTGCATGCCACTTCTGTATTTTCTCAAGGCAATCCAGAATATGCATGACATCTTGATTGGGTCTTGGAATTCCATGAAACTTTGGAGCTCTCTGCTTAAAGACCCTATAAGTTCTGCGACCATGGATTAAATGAACAGGTATTGGAATTTCCCACTTGATAAATTCTTTGTACCAGGTGTAAAGAGTTGTCTTTGGAGCAAGGACCAAAGGCCGTTTTCCTGGGAATAACTTCAAGTAGCTGACAAGAAAGGCAATAATGAGAAAAGTCTTCCCAGCTCCTGGAGAATGAGATACAACACAACCACCCATATTCTCAGATGTTGATTCCATTTGTGTAGGTACTAAAGAGCCGGCGACATTTTTCCACAGAAATTCAAAGGCCTTCTTCTGGTGGAAGTGTAATTTCTTCCCAAGTTCAGGGATTAGGGCCCAGACATTATCATTTTCTTCTGATAAGGATGAATCAGTGGAAGTGTGATCCAATGAAATATCTAAGCCCTCATCTTCATTGGCCTTAAACTTTGGATCTTCTTCACACCATTTACCTTCTGTCGTCCAGCTTTTGTGTTCCATCTAGAAAAATGGAAAACAGAGAAATCAGACAATGCAATTTAATCACACAAGCTGAATGAACAAGAATTAGGAAGATCAACCAAACTGAAAAGTCAGTCCCCTAGCTCATTCCATTTGAAAAGGAAAGTATTTGGTTTACTAGTACATGCATCATAAGGAGCCCAAAAAGGAATATTCCAGAACAAAATATTTATTATCTTTATATGAATTATGCAATTACCATTCTTTCCCCCTTTTTTTTTTATGTTCACTTGATTTTCATATTTCATTTTGCCCCAAGGCAAATGTAACTTTCCATCATTTAAAAACTTTTATTTCTATATTTCTTGTACAAGAACTAAACTATTACATTTTATGCTTGAAAAGATTTTAGGATTTCAATATAGGAAAAGAAATAATAAAGAAAATACACATATATCAAGCTCCTTTTGTGAAATATATACCAAACAGAGGGAGAATAAAAAATAAATAGTTCTTCCCCTGAAAATTCAGAACATGAGCAACAGAATCTCAAATGATGACCTGAGTCCTACAAGATATAACTAAAAAATGTGCATTTCTTTGGTTCAACACTTACAAAGGGTGCTGAAACATGTTTTATTTCAGTGCTCACGAAGCCACAGATACGACAGTGGATCCCAATTTCTTCATCCAATATATACTCATGCTGGCAACCTCCACTTGATTTCAGAGATTCAGCAGACACTCTAGCCTGAAAATAGTAATACTAAAAATAATGCACGATGCAAAAAATAAAGATTATATGTATATAGCAAAATTTTGGTAGGTATACCTCATCCTCCTCAAGATACATTGATGCTAGGCATAGTTCCATTTCTCTCCACAACATTTCAATTTCTGAGATATCTTCCTCATCCTTCACTGGAGGTTGTTCTGTCTTCCTACTCTTTTCTGACAATTTTGCTTGCTTGAACTCATTCCACTGGTCAATAACAGGTGGCTCTTCTTTTGTGATTGTAGAATCAATGTTTCTCATATATGAATTTATCAATTTAATGTAAGCACCAGCACTTAGAGGTGCTTTTCTATAAGCAGCCGGTTCATCAAAATCATCCCTTCTTGAGCGGTCCCTTCTTGAGCATGTGGAATGACGGCTCCTACTTTGACCTCTATTATTAAAAAATCTTCTCTTCCATGTAAATTCATAATCCATATAATCCAATGCAGGGATTTTCTGCCTCTGATTTGAATGGTTGGCTCTTGTTTTGTAACAGTTAAAAGAAATTTCCCCCCTTTCCTCTGAATAATTTCTTGGACTTTTAGGGGGATGATACTGCTCAGCAACCACAGAATCACTTTCAGAAGGCACGGGAACAAGAGCAAGCTTGTTTTGATGTTCACTTGGGATTAGATTCTTCCAACGTCGTTTTACCTCCCTTGAGTTAGCTTTGTCCTTGTACACAACAATATCTCCTCTTTTACCCAGATTATGTTCTGGAGAACTTAGATTCATCCCAAATAAACATGATAATGGTAAGAACATCTCCTCATCCTCTTCTTCTTCATCTTCTACCCTCCACTTCCTGCATGCCCCTGTTCGGAACCAGTTGGGATCTGGCTCTGGAATATTATCACAACCAAGGAAACGCTCAGGTTTTACATTCCTACGTTTAGATCGTCGTAGAGAATTAGCATCGTAAAATGGCGATTGCCCAACAACATTTGTGTCATAGGAAGCATTAGATTCGGGAGTATCAAACAGGCCAAATTGGAAAACTGTGGATACTGATATGCCATTGTCTACCCTGAAATTTATAGCATGTAAACCATTATCAGATTTTAGAGGATTATTATCATCATCCAAAATTTGATAAACTATCTTCTTTTCCACGGATTTCACATCAAATGCTATCTGCTTCAAGACTGATGTAACAAGTAACCACGAAAGATCAGATGAGAATTTCCCCAAAAATATCTTGGTTCGCTGAATTGTAGAGCAATCCTTTGAGAAATCCCATCGGTAGTGCTGCCCTTCACATGGATCTTTTTCAAGC